CAATATGACATAAAACAGTAACGAATCCCAACGTCTACTTCTGTGTTATTTGTGCTGATTTGATATATGTTAATATATGTGTGTCTGTGCACAAATGTCTTAATGCATCCTAGTATGAAAAATGTAATTGCTATGTGTGTGATCAAGTAATATAGCACAGTGAACATAATGAACAACCCCTATATAAGCATGATATGAATTGTGCTATGACATAAAACAGTAACAAAACTAAAACTATTATTACACAAAGTAGATAATTAAAAAGAGCAACAAGGATGTAAATTTACTGAAATTGAAAACTTAGTGAAGAATGTATATTGTTTGTCATCCCGAAGTCAAATCTTTAATGAACATAATGAGCAGCCCCATATGTAGTTAGTCTTCAAAACTAAAACTAATATTACAAAAAGTAGATAATTAAAAAGAGCAACAAGGATGTGGATTTACTAAAATTCAAAACTTAGTAAAAAATGTATATTGTTTGTCATCCCGAACTCAAATCTTTAATGTAGGCGTGTTCACATTAGCGTGTTCACATTAGCTTGTTCATAGCTATCGTATGTTCATATTGGGACACTTATTGATTATTTTCTTCACTTTCGGAATTCGAATTCCGAATGTAACTTATTGATTATTTTCTTCACTTTCGGAATTCGAATTCCGAATGTATTCGCAGACGCTTTTAGCTTTTTCATTCTCATTGTCGTCGATCCGTTTTACTCTATGATTATCTATATTACTCGGACTATAATGGAATCTTTACAAAACGGACTTTTTTCAAATTTACAATATCAAAACCATTATAGGAAGAATAAATGTAAAATTCAGTAAGATGAACACATGTGAAACTTAATGTCATTATTACATGAAAATCAATTAGTGATATTTTAAGATTTGTAACTCCCAATTAAAATATTTGGGAGTTACATAAGAATGATAAATTATCTAAATACCCTTACAATTAATATGTGAGTTACATTTGAACCTAACTAAAAGATGGAACATGATTGGTTGATATTGGTTAGCATAGTTTGCACAATAGTTTTGGTTAGTATTTGAACCAACCTATATATATATATATATCATATATTTCGAGTTCAAGTATGAATGTTGATGTTGGTGGTGATCATTCAAATACAACTTGTTCAATATGGATATTCGTCTTTGGAATCATGCTTATATGAGAAATCAACGAAAGACGATGTCTTGAGTTTCATGCAATATTAAGCTCAATAAATCGTTTATCTCGGAAATTTGTCATGTGCTTACAAAAGCGTTCCAATCAGAACTTGAAGATATGTATCGGGAGCACACCAACTACCTTTTCACGAATCCGACTCGACAAATGAAATCTTAGTAGCATTGACCGATACTTATTAAATCTCTAATCGGGTTCGTTACTGATTAATTCTATAAAATTGTTTTTATAAAATATGAGAGCAAAACAAATCTTTTAAACTCATACTTTAATTTCAATATCCTTTAGAGATGCTACTTAGTGTGATTAAATCCATTTGTCTGTGATTGTTCATAAACCTTATGCAAAATATGTGAGAACAGCTACAAACACATGATTAGGTTATGGTATGACCAGACTTGTCCTATTAAGATCATTATACCAAAATAAACAGATTCAAGGATGGAAAACTGGTAATAGCGAAGCTAAGAGATTGCTAGAGCAATGGAACAGGTTGGATGTTAAAAGGGTACTAGAATAACATGACATGATGACGCCAAAGAGGCATGATAAAGTGAAACTTGAAGCTAACAGGTTACGAGAGTATTGTATTGGTATATATTGGAAAGACAGAAATTAGGGGAGTGATGATCAACTACAAGGTAGTGATTTCTGTGAGATGGAGCAAATGCTGATGAAATTAATGACCTTATGAGAATGTGTTGGATTTTATGACTGTATGTAGTATAAAAAATAAGTTGATGGACCTAGCAATCTGATTGAAAACTACATGGTATTTTGATGGAATCTAACATTCCTTAGCAAACTACATGGTATTTTGATGGAATGAAATTCTCTATTTTCATAACACCACCCAATATACCCTAATCTCATAAAACCCAATATGACCATCGTCGACCACCTTCGACCACGTCGATCTGCACCACCGCCGACCATCGCCATTATCTGAACCACTGGCGACCATCGCCATCTGAACCACCGTCGACTACCACCGACCACCACCTATCTGAACCACCGCCGACCACCACCGATCTGAACCACCGCCGACCACCACCAATCTGAACCACGTCGACCACCACCGATCTGAACCACCGCCGACCACTACCGATTTGAACTACCGCTAGCCACCGCCAATCTAAACTACCATTGATCTGATCCACCGTCGATCTGAACCACCATGGACCACCACCGATTTGAACCGTTGTCGACCATCGTCGATCTGAACCACCACGAACCACCGTCGATCTGAACNGACCATCGTCGATCTGAACCACCACGAACCACCGTCGATCTGAACCACCATGGACCACCACCGATTTGAACCGTTGTCGACCATCGTTGATCTGAACCACCACGAACCACCATCGATCTGAACCACCGCCAAATACTACCGATCTGAATCACCATTGACCACCGCCAATTTGAACCACCGCCGACCATCACCGATCAGGACAACCACTGATCCGAATCACCGCCGACATCGCCGACCACCAACGATTTGAACAACCACTGCCGTCACCGCCGATCTGAAACACCGTTGACCACCTCCATCTGAACCACAACAGACCACCATCAATCTGAACCACTGCCGACCACTGCCATCTGAACCATTGCAGACCACCACCGATCTGAACCACCTTCAACCATTGTTGATTTATTAAGGTCGTTTGGCTTATGGTTATATTTAGGTTGTGTATTTTATATTTTTTTACATATTAAAGTATTTTTTGTTTTAAAAATATTAAAATTTTCAAAAAAGGGCATTTCGGTCATTTGCAAATAT